CACACACACACACACACACACACTTTCCCCAAACAACAGGCGAACACCACAGATCTGGGACTCTCTCTCTCTCCCCCCTACCCCCCTTCCCAGCTGCTGTCTCCCAGCCACCCTCCCCCAGGCACCTCCAACCCTGGCAACATTTCTTCCCCTCTGCACCATTTTTTTTTCCGGTGGTTGTTGTCAAATGGCACCAGAACCTCTCTCTCTTTCCTGTCTCCCACCCCAAGCGACATCTAAGACCAAGGCGGGGGGGGGGGGACAGGGGGATCGACCCCACCCCGTCCTCGGCCGCCCTGCGGAGCTGTCAATGCCCTGGCCCCGCACCGGTCCCCCAGCTCTGATCCCCCCCCCCCTTTGCAAACAGCCGCTGCTGTCAGGCAGACACAAGGGAGGCAACACCTCGCCGCCGCCTGTATTCCTCCCTTCACCTCTGCACCATTTTGGCGAGGGTTTGTTTTGAAATGTCAGAGGCGGCGGGAGGATGCGCTCGCCGCCCTCCCGCCCCGCAGCCAGAATCGATCCCGATCTATGGCTCCATCTCTCCCCCCCAGCCGCCCATCACCGTGGTACCCAGGCGAGGCCGACCCGCTGCCCTGATGTTATAAGAAGTGTGCCCCTAGTCAGGGCTTTGTCTTATAGAGGAGCCTATCCCCCCGTCTCTGGATTTCACACTTGCTCTGTGGTCACCCTAACCCCGGCTTCCACCCAAGACCATCCCCACCCGGACTCCCAAAGCTGTCAGTCCACCGCCACCCCCAGGCTACCCCTCCACCCCCCACACACACCCCAGGACTCGACTTACCCTCCAGCGTCCGCTTCCGCGCTGCCTTCCCCCCAAAAAAGTCGCTGCCAGGAGCCCCCCCTCCGGGGATGGGGTGTTGTTGGAGAAGTGGAGGCTCCAGAGAAGCAACAACAACAACCAAACAACAACAACAACAGCAGCACCGCAGCCACACTTCAGAGGCGAGCCCGGGCAACCAGGAGCAATCTCAGTGTCTCAATGAACTTCCTCCCTGGGGTTGCGTGTGTGTGTGTGTGTGTGTGTGTGTGTCGATTCCTTCCTTCCTCCTTTTTGGCTACAAAGGTAACTACTTCCAACCCACCGGGGAAAAGACACAACGTAACCACCAGCTAGTGCAGTCTAGCATGCCGGGACGGACAGATGGCTCCCCACCCACCAATGGCCAAGCCCGACGCAAGGCCCGGGGAGGGAGGGATTAGCTACCCAGCACCCTCCTCTCCACCCCCACCCCTGCACCCAAGCCACCTCCCCCCAAGCTAGGCTGTAGCGTGGCTTGCTGCGAATCCTTCCGCCTGGAGGACTAGCAGCACCAGCCCAGGGGTAGTTAGAAGCCTGATCTTTGCAGGGTTTCAAGGGGCCTGGCTGGCACCTGGCTGCTTTCTGGTCTCCATCCCCTTCCCCCTCCCCAGCTCGTCACTAGATGTCAGGAGAGGGTGACCAGGTGTCCTGATTTTATAGCGACAGTCCTGATGTTGCATCTGACTTGCATCTGAAGAAGTGAGGTTCTTACCCACGAAAGCTTATGCTCCCAATACTTCTGTTAGTCTTAAAGGTGCCACAGGACCCTCTGTTGCTTTTTACAGATTCAGACTAACATGGCTTCCCCTCTGATACTAGTCCTGATTTTGGGGGTCTTTTTCTTATATAAGTTCCTATTACCCCACCACCACCACCACCCCCTGTCCTGATGTTTCATATTTGCTCTCTGGTCACCCTATATCAAGAGAACGCTCCTTCAGACCCTCTGCACCTCTATTTTTGCGGGTTTGATCTAGTGGTTAGAGGTGAAGGAGGACGTCAGGACTCCTGGGTTTTTGTTCCTCGCTGCACGAGGGCATGGGATGAGAACAAGACACTGGGCCCTGAATTGCAATGAATGCCACTTTACACCAGCTAGAGATCTAACCCATTGACTTCAACAGAACTAAGGTGATGTAGACACAGTAGGAATCGGTCCCATTGATTTAAATGGAGCTACGTCAGTTTCAACCAGCTGAGGCTCTGACCCAAAATATTTAAAGCCAAAAATGTACTTTCACCTTACATAATAATAATACTTAGTGTTTTACCATTTCCAAGCACGGTACAAATATTCACTAACACCCGACAACCCTCTGTATGGGGAGGTGGCAGATTATCAGCATGTTAGAGGGGAAACTGAGGCACGGATCAGTGACGCAACTAGATCAACTCGGTGGCAGAGGCATGATTTGAATTCTGGAGTTCCTGGCTCCTAGCCCCATCCCTTGGCATGAGTCATTACTAGTCTTAAAATTCACACTGGAACATGTGTGTCACTCTTTGCTCCTCAATGTTCCTGTGGCTAAGGCTTTGGAATGGCACCCAGGAGTTCTGGATTTAGTTTCCAGCCCCGCCACAGCCTCCCCAGGTGACCTCGGGCAAGTCACTTCATTCCAGTATGAAGCTTACAGCCCAACCCGAATGGTTGATTGCACTGGATCATTTCCCCTCTCTCCCCCGCCCCTCACCAATTTTGGGGCTTGTCTAGACTAAGAAAATTTGCACTGGTGTATCTACATCAATGTAGTGACAAGGGCGCGAACAACTAGGGCCTGATCCTCAGGGAGGCCCCTTGACACCTCTCTGCCATTAAAGGCTGTGCTAATTATATCTACGTCCACTTTAAGGTCCTTTTCAGGGCAAGGAAAAGGGGCCTTAATGTCATGCCCATTAGTGTCTGTCAGGTGCGCAGACAGCAGGGGGAGGGCGCCCCCTACATAAATGAAATTAAAAGTTCCACTCACCCAATCAGGGAGCAGAACCAATATCATGTGGTTCGGGGGGGGGGGCAATCACACCACACGAATTGAAGCAAGTAGTTTGCGAAACACGCCCATTGTCTGAAAATAGTTTGTTCAAAGTGCTGGGCCAATAATATCAAACACACCATAGGAAACGTGGGATGGGCTCTGGAAATCTGGGCTGAGGGCTAGTTCTACTGGCTCTACAAATCAGCTTGCTCACTTTTAATATTGGTTGCACCCCGAGGCCCCAGCCAACCTAAGGCCTCTCCTGTGCTAGGTGCAGTATAAACACTTAGCAAGAGACAGTGCCTGTCCCAAAGAGCTCACACTATGCAAAGAGGTGAAAGGATTTCCCCCCGGGTCACCCAGGACGCTATATAGTGGACCAGACTGCCTCTCTCGTATAGGCATTAATAGGAATTCTATCCCATTCTATTCTAGCCCTTCACTGGCCTATTTGGCCGCAATAAGAATAAAACTAAGGATGTTAATTCTTTCTTTTTAAATGACGATCTTACTTTCCTAAGTCAATCAAATCCATATACCCAACTTCCAATCCTAATATTTTTCTTGTGTTCCACAATTTCCTGGCCCAGCTCCAGCCCAGGTTAATTACATTCCACCTTCTTAAATTCTTCCTATATGTAGTTTCAATCTGGATTAATTATGCTGGGATCACACTCCTTTAAAAATAAAGCGGGAGGGGGAAGGTCTCCTGGAATGATTCTAGCTGCAATGTTCCACCCCCTGGAGTAAGGCCAGTTTAAGGCACAGACTCTCTAGACCCATGCCTGGTGCGCCTGTTCATGGCATCCCAGGAGAGCATCTCAGAATCTCAGCTTTCATTTAAAAAAGAATTTATGTTTATAGCCCCTGTGGTTGTGATAAAATGCTTGGATATGTGACCTGAATGTAACCAGCACAGCGAGGTCTTGCCTGAGTCTGCAGAGAGCCTGAGACAATTGCTCTGAAAGCAGAGAGTTGCCCAGAGTGTAACCAATGCAGCAGCCATTAAAGCCAAGGGAAAAGCCACCAGGCCCCCCACACCCATTCTGATCTTGACTGAGACCTTAAATAATAAGTTCCTGGAGAGTGGTGTGTGAGTGACAAGTTGGGAATGACTTCTCTGGGAAATGAGATAATCCTCAGGATGGCTAGAAGCACCACGCACTTACCACAACTGTTACATAGCATCCCACTTCCTCTGTGATGTGGTCTGCAGACACCTGCCTCCTTCTTGATGGAGGATCTGAAAGACCTGGTTCCCAGAGACAATAAGGCCCACTTAGGCCGCTCAGGCAGCACAGAGAGCCTTAAAGTGGGTGGATATGGCCCCCTGAGAATCCCCTCCTGCACAGGGATCCTCTCTAGCCAGCGTGGCGCTGGTATAAGGACCCTGCTTCCAGTCTTGAAATAAGGGTGGTGTAGCCAGAGCACACTGCATTACCGGAGCACGGGAACAGTGTATAAATTAGAGCAGCCATCGGGCAGCTCCCACTTACATCAGGACCTGTGCAGAGCCCTACATGGCCTCAGAATCTGAGAAGCACAAAGGTGGCCTTAAAGCCACCTTCATCCCTGCCCCAGCCACAGGAACGGCGCAAATGAGTGTCAGGCCCATAGAATAATCAGGGGAAGCGTGGAATGGGAAGGATGACCGGGCGAGGACTGTATTTCTGCCAGCAAGAATTATGATCATTATTTATTATTTGTGTGGAGGTTGCGCCTAGTAGCTCCAGCTATGGGTCAGGACCGCCCACGGTGCTAGGGGCTGTACAGACACAGACACAAAAGAATTCCGAGTTAGGGGCTCCGCCGTATGCAGACTCCAGTTAAGCCTTTTTGACACAAGCAATCAGCTTCTTCCAGAACATAAGTTCCAGCGCCGGTGGGAGGATCTACAAAGCGAGTGACTCAGGGCTGAGGAGGAATAGGGAAGTTTTACAATACGTTTGGTGTAGGAGGAGGCTCCCAGTGCACGGAAGGTAGGCGTCGAATTACACAATGTGTGTGTGTGTGTGTGTGTGTGTACACACACACACACGCAGCATCAGGAGACTTTATGGCAGGGAGAGGTACATAAACATTGCATTTATACTAAAGCGGAGCTAATAAAGGACGTTGTATGTTCCCGTAGGGGGCAGGGAGACAACCGCCTGTCATGCTGACCAATACTGTCTCATTGTTTCCTTGTACTACCCTGTTGGTCTGTATCCAGCTGTTGTCTCTCATCTGATCCTTAGACTGCAATCTCTTTGGGGCAAGGGCTGTCTTTCTGTTCTGTGTTGGTACAGCACCTGGCACGGCAAGGTCTTGGTCCATAAGAAGAGCTCCGTGGTGCTACTGACATACAAATAATAAATAAATGATGGTGAAAAACCCCCAGGGTCTCTGCCAATCTGACCCGGAGGGAAATGCCTTGCAGACCCCAAATACGGCCATCAGTGCCTAGCACAATTCTTCGCTGGCCCCTTGGCACGACCACAATAAACAGGACTAATACTAACAGGCTTCACTCTGGGATCGGGAGACCATCCACACACAGAACAAACACCCAGCCTTTGCCCCAAAGAGCTTCCAGTCCCAATGGAAAGTTGTGACACGAATGGAGCCAAGGGCAGGATCGGGGCCTAAAAGCATTTGACTGACCTATAAGGAATCCGTTTCATGCGAAGGCCTCTATCCATATTAGATTTTCTTTTTGTGCAACAAAATATATTTATACCTTATTATTTTGAGGAGATCTAAATTTTGGACCGGAGTTCAATGATAAGGATTGTTTAATTAACAACCCTGCCATCTTCCCTTTGTCTGCCGTGGTTACAGTTTCATGGACTCATAGAGGCAAGAAGGGACCACCTAGAGCTCAGGAAACTCAATAATTGTGGTACCCCAGGCCAAGAACAGGGAGGATTATGGGGAACAATGCCAGTGGAATCGACGAAGAAGATATGCCCAGCTGATCCGAGCAAATTTCGTGTCAGACCCTTCCCACGTCATCTCAAGATGCATCTTGCTGGTGGACTTTTCTGTTTGTTTGGCTTTGGGGCTGTTTGCAGTTGGGTTTATTATTATTATTATTATTATTGTTACTGGCCCTATTTTTAGCACCATATCAGTTTATGCGGAGACGGAATTAGTCATCCCACTGAGGGTTGTTTGCACAGAATCTGGCGTGTTTGTTTTCCAATCAGCTGCAATCATGTAACCAGGAAAAAAAAATCGTCTCCTATGGGCCCCACTCTCTCTCCTACGCCAGTTTAGTATAGGAGACTTCCTCCTGATCTGCACTGGTGCAAACAAGGGAAGAATGAAGTCCAGGATATTTTCAAGGCTCCTGGCAGCCCCTGGAAGATTAGAACATTTCTGCGAGCCTCAAAGTATTTTGGAAAGTC